TTAAGGAGTAGTGGTCTGAGTTTGTGTCTTGGCTAGTTAGAAAGTTTTTATAAAATAACATTAATTAGGGAGAGGTGGTGCTCTGTGCCATGGCTTTATCCATGTGCATTTTGGTATTGTATTTTGCCACTGCTTTGCTTTGTTTTTTCTTTTAAGACTGATGTGCTTCTGCAATAAATAACTTTATAGCAACTATTAATTGCTTAGCTTTTAAAAAAAAAAATATATATATAACCCAGCAGTGTGGGTGCCCAAGAGGCACCTGGAAGTTTTCCTAAACCTCACCACACCTGCCCTGTCCCACAGAGCCCTTCCCAGCCGTGCCCATCCTCTGGGGACATCCAGGAGCTGTGGCTCTTGGGCCACTCGAGGTCACAAGGCAGGAAGATGCTGCTGCTTCACTTCCTCATCCTCTTCCAGGCTGTTCCTGTAACTGGGGCTGGGTGGGCATTTACAGAGCACAGGGCAGGGATTCCCAGGGCTGGGCTGAGCCCTGGCAGTGATAGCACAGGGTTAAAATATTTCTAAAAATCCTGGGAATTGCATCCAATAGATCCAGGGGGCTGGGAAAGGGAACTAAGCCCTGGGAAGGAATATTGAGATTTGGCTTTTCTAGATCGTGTGAAGCTCCACCTGTGTAATCATCATGTGATCAATGATATGATTGTTAAATGTAATGATTGGTAATTGAATAGAATTATTGTTTAATTGTGGTAAGAATCATAAGAAATGATGTGATCATAACAAGAATCATGAGAAAGGATATTTGGGGGGGCTTAATGAAAATGACAAGAATTAATGCTTGGATAAAATCAATGTATCCAATAGAACAATATGGGTTTAATAATTAATATCTAGTTATATAACAAAAAGAGAATAAAAACATGGGATCCACGTTGGAGTCAGATTTGGGTGTGCACCCCTGATTCCCAGAACTCCTCAATAAAATCACCGTGGGATGATGTATTTCAGGGCAAACAGCAGCAAACAAAATAAAACTGCAAAGGAGAAAGGAGCTCCCCCACGGCGTTGGGTACTCACGGATGTCCCTGATGAAGAAGCTGCAGGTGTAGTTCTCGTACTCCACCACGTCAATGGCCTCCAGGAAGATGTCGATGGGCTGGAGCTCCTCAGCGAAGGGACAGAAGTTGTGCTGCTGGCACTGCGCTGTGAAGGTGGTCAGGGCCCCCTCGGTGACAGCCACGGGGCTGCTGCAGGACACGCCAGCCTGGGGGCTGTGACACAGCACGGACAGCGCTGGGAGGGATGGTCTGGACTGGGAATGCTAGACTGTACTGGGAATTCTGGGCTGTACTGGGAATGCTAGACTGTACTGGGAATTCTGCTCTGTACTGGGAATTCTGGTCTGTACTGGGAGGGATGGGTTGTACTGGGAATTCTGGTCTGTACTGGGAGGGCTGGTCTGTACTGGGAATGCTAGATTGTACTGGGAGGGCTGGTCTGTACTGGGAATTCTGGTCTGTACTGGGAATTCTGGTCTGTACTGGGAGGGATGGATTGTACTGGGAATTCTGGTCTGTACAGGGAATTCTGGCCTGTAATGGGAGGGCTGGTCTGTATTGAGAGTACTGGATTGTACTGGGAGTGCTGCTCTGTACTGGGAATGCTGGTTTATACTGGGAGTGCTGGATTGTACTGGGAGGGCTGGATTGTACTGGGAATGCTGGTTTATACTGGGAGTGCTGGTTTATACTGGGAGTGCTGCTCTGTGCTGGGAATGCTGGTTTATACTGGGAGTGCTTCTCTGTACTGGGAATTCTGCCCTGTGCTGGGAGTGCTGGTTTATACTGGGAGTGCTGGTTTATACTGGGAATGCTGCTCTGTGCTGGGAGTGCTGGTTTATACTGGGAGTGCTGGTTTATACTGGGAATGTGCTGCCATAACCACAACACCTGAGGCAATGTTTTGCTTTGCCTGCTGCAGGAAAGGCTCAGTGGGAGCTGTGACATTCCCAGCACTGTGGGATGGATTTGTGTCATTAATTCAACCCCTGCCTCAGCAGAAGGAATTAATATTTAAACCCCAAACCAAGCATCTCACATTTCTCATTTCCACCATCCCGTGGCAAGCTCCAGTTTCCTCCTTTGTGCTTTGCCCTCTCCCAAACCCTGCTGAAGGATTGAGGGCTGAGAAATCTCCCCAGGAGCCCCCAAATCCCCAGCTGAGCCTGGCTCTGGTTTTACTCTCAGCCAGCTGAGCCCCTTGGCAGCTCTCGGTCCTCTCACAGGCTGGGGGGTGACCTTTGCTGGAGCACTCCACGTTTTGGAGAACCCTCCCCTTGGAGCAGTGGGAGGCAGGAAATCCCCCCAGGGTTCCCAGGAGCCGTTTCCCTGGGGTTTCTGCAGGGTTCCTCAGCACAGGCTGCTCGGGGGCCGTGTGCTCTGCCCTGGGAGCAGCCTCCCACTCCATTCTGCCC